GCAATGGGCGATTATTCCTCTGTGCTTCAACCCTCTCATACAAGAGAAATGTGTGTATTAGCAGTGCTGCCCCGCTCTAGGGCAGGAACAACAGCATTTTTGCTAGTATACTGCATTTTCTATTCTGGGATTCAGGTAACAGAAGTAGCCAATAATGGTAATGTACATTATGTAAGTGGTTATGCAGGTAGGTTAACCGTAGCGCTGCCACTATGTCTAGGAACAGACTACAGGCAGCAGAATACGGTTCATAATACACTCTTTATTTAACTAGACTGAACATAATTTAACATTTGCTGATTTTTTTTCCCCATCCAGTTGGCTAGAGATTTAGTACATCCCTCTTTAGAGGATGAGAAGAAAAAGCACAAAAAGAAACGTCTTGTGCAGAGCCCAAACTCCTACTTTATGGATGTAAAATGTCCAGGTAAATACTTAGTGTTTTATGCCTTAAAAAAATAAACTGGCTTAGTATGCAGTTCAGCTTCATAAAAGGTCTCTTGAAAAAAAAAATACCTTACTGTAGTTTGTGTGTTCTGTAGATTTAAAAAAATATGGTTGTAAATTTTTGTTTTCTTTGTAATAAAGTGCACCACCATTTTTTAAAGCGTTGATGTAAAATGTCAGGTGGATGCTTGAAACTATACTATGTTGGCTTTTTTTTGTTTGTTTTTTCTTTCTTAATCCTGAGAGACTGGGAAAAAACATGCCAATATTTCCACGTGTAAGAACTGAAATGAAAGGGATGTTTTAAAACATCCATTGCAGAACCTTCAAATTGAAAATAATGCTATTTTTTTCTCTTAAGTTGGGTGAAGAATGCTCAGAAAATATATATAAAGAAAAGAAATACATCACTTTCTCTTTTGCATATTTCTGTTAAGACATCCAACCCATACATACAGGACATACTTAAGGTATTGGCTATGTCCACTTTTCCCAGATTCTAATTATTCTGACTTAGAAACACCTGTACAACTTCTCCTGTGTATGCTAAAACATAACACTTTCTAGCACAGTTATAGGAGGATGCTCTACCAGTGCCCAGCTTCTTTGATCAGCACAGCTGTGTTCATACTGAGGCACAGAAATTGTCAAATGTTGTAACTTGTCTCTTAGACACTCTTATAGTATCAGAAGACTATGAACTGTATCCTAAACTAAAATTAAAGATTAAAGCAGTAAGAAAATACATGGACTTACTTAGAAAAGTGATCATCCTGACAGAAACCAGCGTAGTGAATCATTAATGTGTTATTTTCCTTGTATTTGTTATTATCCAGTTTTTTCTTAGCAGGGTAAGTTTCTTAATGGTTTAAATTTCTAGGATGGTCTGAAGCATTGTTTTCCATCTGAAGTTGCTATAAATTCATTAAAACTGTTTGAAGGAAAAGTGTGATTATTAAAAATAGTTAGCGCCACTTACTTTGAAACATTTAACTTGGTTCAAACAAGCATTCGTATACACACACACTAAGCTAGAAATGCCAACTTAGGCCCATAGGTCATCTGTTACATTCATAGCTGTTGGATTAATTGGTTATGGAGTTTGAGGGTTGTATATAGCAAAGGGGGAGAGTTTCAACAATGGTGCTCATGACATCAGGCTGCCTTTTGTATCATCCACTGTTGCTGAAGATGCTAAATAGTTGTTGAAATTACTGGGCTCATTTTCTTACAAAACTCAAAATAAAATCTCATCAATTTTAAACTTCAAATTTGTGGGGGAAAACAACACTTACAATTTTTAAGTTTTAAGGTAGTAGGGTTTTTTTTCCTTCTTTTTTTAAACATTTTTCTTTCATTCTTCTTCCAAACAAAGATTTGGCAGCAACTATTTTTGGTTTAAATAAAGTAGAAAGTTGCCATCTTTTCTCATAGGAATTCTCTTTGCCTTTCAGCTTCCTTGTCAGATTTTTTTTCTGAAGTTTTAGAGACTTTTCTCACATCTGATATTCTATTTTGTATTGTCTTTATGATATTCACACCTAGATTGAAATCTGCTATAAATATTTTAATCTCCAAAAACCTCCTCTTCCAATTCCTCTTGACTAATTAAAAGCAAAGTTGCAAAAAAGTCCTTTGTCTAAGCCATGTATGAGAACGGTTCCATTTTTGCTTTCTTAATTAATGCAGTTCAGATGTTATCCACAAAGTGTTTATTTTTGGATCTGGAACAGAGTGAGCCTTCTGTTGTAAACATGTCACAAGCTTAGAATACCACCAAGCATATGTACCACTTATGAAACAGAACAGTAATGTTTATATTCACAGCTGCCAAACCTTGTCAACAGCAGTACTGTACCACAGCAAATTACCTGTTTTCCAGGTAGATGGATTCTTGTATTCGGTGGAGAAAGTCCAGAATCAAGACTTCACATCAGGAAAGCAGAGGTCTGAAATGGCAGGCTGCTGTTAGGAGAATTGGGATGCATTACTGCAGTCTGACCTGAGTTCTAGTTACAAAATGTTTTGTCCTGCATGTTATGAGTGAGTCTTCTGACCTAATGTCATTAAGAAATAAAATTGTTTTGAAGGTCTGAAGATTGTCTAGTAGGTGCCAGGTTCTACTTTCATACCTGTTGGCTTTATAAAAAATAAAACACAGAGGACAAATCAACACAAGCATCTCAAAGATCTGTTAGCAGATACCCTAGCCTGTATCTATAAAACCTCCTGCTGCTGTACCCCTTTCAAGCTCTGGACAAGAAAGATGTCTTTTCCCCCATGCATTAAGAAAGTACAAATACCATGGAACACCTTTAGCAAGCAGCAGGATAAATCCCTGAATAGTTTTTGAGAGCCATAAAGAAAAGCTATAAGATGCTACCTGTTCACAGGAGACATCCTGCAGATGAATTTGTCAAGCTTTGTCGATGATTCTCATATAAACAGTCATAACAATTTCAGTTAATTGGCTGTCACTTTTAAATGCATATTAGTAAAAGCATGTACTTCATAGGAACAATACTTTGTTTATTGTATGCTGTGTAAAGTACAGGCTGATGCAGTTACCCATGCAGTAAATAATTTGAATTTTTTTCAATTTTAATAGACCTGGATGACTTATTTTTTTTTTCTTTCTCTCTAAAACTGTATAGTAGCTGAACAAATAAAATGCCCCTCTCAATGCCATCTTAGTCTGACCAGTAATTTGAAAAGAAGAAAAACAACATTGATAATACAGCACATTTCATAATGGCAAATAGTATTATGTGATGTGTATCAAATAATGCTGTGGGCTACTTGAACTCTTGTGTAGGTTAAGATAATAGTAGATTAAGATAACGCCCATTCCATCTGTGAAAAGTTGCAAGTTGAAGTAGTATTTAAGAACTACCTTTATGACATTTAAAAAAAGAAAAAACCCACACTCGACGGAGAGGTTACTAATATGTTTTCCAGGATGCTACAAGATCACTACAGTATTCAGCCATGCCCAGACAGTAGTTCTGTGTGTTGGATGCTCAACTGTCCTGTGCCAGCCTACTGGGGGAAAGGCTAGGCTCACAGAAGGTAAGGGGCAACGTTTAACAGTACAAATACAGCACAAATATTGCATTTAAGTTTGCAAATACTTAAGCTTTGATTTTGAAAACAGATATTGCAAAAAAACTCCGTCTGTTTTGAGTTGATTACTAAAAACATTGTTAGTGGGCCCCATTTCTCTGAAGGGTTTTGTTTTTCTTGTTTTTAATAGCTATACGGACATGCTAATCAGCTAAGCAGAGGAGCGATTGTTTTCATCACACTTAATTTTAGATGCTTTGACTTTTAACTTCCTTTAGTCTAACTATAATAAATATATGGTCTATTTTAGTTCTGAACAAACTCTAGAGGGTCAAATCACTTAAAATGCTGGAAACACTTGAGAGTTTAAATTAAAGAATGAATGCACCTTTCACTAATACTTCTTGTTTAAAAGGTAAACATATGTGAATTCAGTAGAGTGGTGCTTGCATCATGTACTACTATACATATGTAGCTTATGGGAGGACTGATTATCTGACAGGGCTGCTAGCGCTTCACCATTTGTGATATACAAAGTTTAAATTTATTAGGGATGCTCGATTGCTCAATAGCAGAATTTGGCTGAGCAATTTTTCATGACAGTCTAACAATCTAAGGACTATTCATTTACCCCTGTGATTTCTTTACAGGCTGTTCGTTCAGAAGAAAGCAACACTGAAAAGTCTCTTCAGCATGCTGACTTGGATCCATGTTCCTGGAAGCCTTATCTGTTTAAAAAAAATGCCTGTTAATATAACAATATAATTACAGTTGATTTTGTAAAAATTATATACCACAAGTGACTAATAAGCTGGAATCTTTTCAATAAATGGTTCAAAGTGCAATTTTTTCCTGCAAATTCTCAGACAGCTCAGCTTTGTTTGTGTAGTTTTACTTCTAAACAATGTATTACAATTGGCTAGTGGCATTTAATGCAAGAATGTGAACCTCACGCTTGCTGCATGCACCCTTCCCCTTGTTAGTACCAACTCTGGCAGTGTAGCGCACGCGGTGACACAGACCCTTGCAGGAATGCATTTTGTGTGCTTTATCAGTATAGCTGCTCTAATTTAAGGATAATAAAAGCTAGGCAGATTTAAGAGGCATGCAACCGATTTGCTTTCAGCATTGCTTTACCATGTTGGTGAATATGCTGATAGGCTCTCAATTTATTTCTCAAATTGAAATGATCTGCTTATGTTCAGCTGTTATTCAAGGACAGGTGATCATCCCCTCCTCTAGCTTGGAAACTCCTGTAGAGCTCCTATGCTGGATTGATTACAAAACAAATATTTTGCAAAACAAAAGCATTCTGTACAGGCAAAGTATATGGTATAAGTTACCGATCTATGTAGATCAACAGATGAGAATGACAGCATGTCATAAAAAAACTAATGGCAAACCCATGCATGTTTTCTAATATTCAATATGATTACCTTTTTGAATGACAAAAGCAATTATTAGATTAATTTTTAAAAAGATACCCCTTTCTAAATGGTTGTCCAAGATCTTTAGAATTGAAAGGTTGTTTTAATCATGATAATCCAGTCAAGCAATGTAACCTTATATGCATCTTATTATATTAAATACTATATTCCTTTACATGTCAATGTGTCTTCCAAAATAACAGCTGTCTTGGTGAGCTGATTGTTGTTGGGAATTTATTTGCCTTTTTGCAAGTTTGTCAGTGCCTAGTCAATAAAAAAACTGATACTATAATTCAATGCATTTGCAAGATATGTTTTATTTCAGTTAATTCAGTGAACACTGATAATTATTAGATGCAAAAAGCAAGTGTTCGACAGAGAAACAGATACAACAGTTCGCATACATACCTTCTAAGGAAAGTAGTTCTAAGTCAGGCCCATACTGGGTTTTCTATCACTGGAGTTGCTCTTGACTGACCAGACAGTAGCCCACACTTAATGCCAGTCCATCAAATAACTGGTTTCAGAATAAATCTGAGTAACAATATGAATTCATCTGTGACCTGAATATATGCACTGCAACTAGACTGAGTCCTACTCTTCCATATCACTGCTTTTTCTCCCTAGCCTGCAACAGATGAGTACATAAAACTCATGATTAAGTAAGAATTACCATAGCAAAATGTGTCATTGACTTCCTTTGATACAGGTGCTAGGTGAAATGTAAACATTGTTAATGTCTCCAATAGTGCACACACAGCAATAGGCTAGTGACAGTGACATTTGAACGCTATTTTTTTCAAAATCCTTAAGTTGCCAGTGAGACAGTATAAAGAATTATGTTTCTGCATATAAAGTTAATGGTTAACCATTCTGTTTGTCAAGTGAGATACTGTAATTAATAGCTTAGTGTTAAAAATGTCTCAGATACTTCTGGCCATTATTTGCTTTCCCATGTACATCAAATATTCATTCATGATGCATATTTGGCCATGTGTAGACAAGCACACAGGTAAATTTCTTACATGCTGAATCTCTAAGCCTAGGCACAACAGTCACTGAATGATTTTTTCTTTCTTTTTTCCTAAAGTATGCAATTTTTTTAAAGAACAATTACACACACACACACACACACACACACACACACACACAAAACACCTAAAAAATCAAATTATCACACAACAAAAACAGACTATACATCTTACAGTAGCAACTTTTTCAGGGTTTCCGTATTTTAAACATTGTATTCGGTCAATTTGTGTTAATGTACCCTTCAACGTGAGAACAGTTAGGAACAAATCATTGTTCCCTGTCCGAGTAAAGACTTCTGTTGTTGCTTGCCTACTAGTTTCTAGGAGCTTAAGACTGAAAACCTGTTGCCATTGGAGAAGATGCTCATCTTCAGTATTTCTGCATTGGAATTATCAGCTATTACTCAAGAGTTCAAGGAAAAAAAAAATAGATGAATTTATTGCTTGACCAAATGAACATTTTGTTCAGAAGGATTTTCATACCTATATTCTCTCTACTGGCTTGATATTTTTGAGCTATTGAGACAACCTATTGTTAATGAATTAAATATATATATAATATATATGTAGGTGGGCTATAAAACCCAAGCAAAAAGTACATTTTTATTGCTTTAAGGCACATAATCATGAAAAGTGCTACAACAGTCAGTCACAGAATTACACAGAATCACAGAATGGTTGAGGTTGGGAGGGACCTCTAGAGCTCATCTAGTCCAACCCCCTGCTCCAGCAGGGACACCTAGAGCACGTGGCACAGGGTGGCATCCAAGTGGGTTTGGAAGATCTCCAGAAAAGGAGACTCCACAACCTCTTTGGGCAGCCTGTGCCAGAGCTCTGTCACCCTCACTGTCATACCATTTTGAATTAAAAGTCTTGACAAAACACTGGCACCTCATAAAAGTACATTTTGTGGCTTGCCAGGCATAACTGTAATCTAACTGTAAATAACTGGGCATAGTGGGAACAAAACTAACATTTTTATTTCACCACGCAACAGGTATCAATTATGAACTTAACATGAGAAGCACTAACTTGAGGAAGAGGCAGGTAAGGCCTGATAATACAAAAACATCTAAAATTTGTTTTCTAAAATCCAGTCCTGTTAACACTGATTTGGGCTTACAATAGATGAAAACAAACTCTCTTTCATCAGCGCACTATCTTCACTCTTGGTTTACATGTGCTAGCTCCCTCAAGAATTAGTGCACTCCCTGGAACACTGCTAACTGGAACTGGTGACTCCTGCACTATGCAGTATCTGTGCGGCCTCAGCAGGCTGAATTTGTACCAACTTCTCATCTAATTCAAAAGTACCACAGAAAAAAAGATAAATATGCACGCAGACACGCGCACCCCTCCTGGCTATTTGAGGACTGGCATAATGCTCAGCACTGTGCAAGAAACACGTGAGAATTCTCCTGAAGACAGATTTCCTGATGACAAACGTAACCAAAAAATACATGTGAAAGGGATAAGTTAAGGAGTTACCAACGAAGAACACATTAAAACAGTTCAGTCTGAGCTGCCTCACTCTAAACACGTAAGAAGTTCCAGAGACTGTGATACAGCTAGTATGAAAATTTGCTACCAATTTTAAAAATGAAAAGAAGACTCCAACACTTCCAGTATTCCAAATCTAATGCTGGGGACAGAAATGTTATTATTTTCTATCAGAAACAGTCCACAAGCTCTTAAGAGCTATGGCACACTTTCTAAAATAGTCTGACACCAAGAAAAGGCAGTAGTTGCAACCCTTTTCAGTTAGGGCATGTGGACAATAGAATAACAGGCCCCTCCCCACTCCAAAGTACATAAGAAATTGTTATACTGGGAGACTTAAAACCCATCTTGAACAAAAGTGGACTGAGAAAAAACACAGATCAGTAAACGGATGACCAAGCAGTAAACAGCCTTTTGCCCCCCCTCTTCAGAAAATGGAGATGTCATTATGGAATATATAAAATTCACAATATTCAGCTGTTATCATACTCCTATAATAAAAATGAAACTTAGATACAGCTTTTTTTGAAATCATTTCTTGATGAAATTATTTCAAAATGATCACAATCATTTCTTACTCACTTTGTGCAAAGGCAACTCCTTACAACAGGTCTCCAGAATTGGAAAAAGGACATTTAAATATATATTTTAAAAAAATCCATCTTCTACTAGTATCTTCAAGAATGGTGTTTAAATTTTATTGAAGTTGAGTTCTATTAATTTGTTTATCTAAATGTCTATCTACATACCAGAATACAGTGTTATTTCTGGCTATTAGCTACAACTTCCACTACCAAAGTCAGGACACGCACATTGTGGCTGATTTCTCTTGAAGGAAAGCTAACAATGAGATGCTTTGATGGCTTTCCTTGTTGTGCTATTCTGGTATATTCGACTGTGAAATAATATACTTATTTCACAGTTAAGAAAAAGTTTCACATATTCTCTGTGCCCAATCAAAACGGAAGCCCAGGTGACTATGTAATGAAAAGGCTTTTACTCACAGTACTCTAGCTTTATTATTTTTGAATTCTTCAACAATCGACATCTCTGAATAAAAAAAAAAAAGAAAAAGAAAAAAAGAAAGAAAGAAAGAAAGGAAAAAAAAAGGTACTGCCTTCTGGAGGTAACTTCAGTATTTGCTGCTTGCTTTTTTTAAGCAAATAAGAAAACCACTGTTAAAAAAAAAAGCCATTTAAATAATACTGAATAGTTTTGGCAGACCTGAATTATGTGTGGGGGTAGGAAAAGTGCCTTTGTGTGCTTAAGTCAAGATGTGAAAAGTTTTTCCATATTTATTTCAGATTTGTTGCTGCACTTCTCAGTACGAGAGACCAATACTAATCTAATTTTAATCTTGGTTAAATGTCTGACTGGATGGGAGGAGGACAAAAATAAAAATCAAGAACCATTAACATGATGATAATTTAAATGGATAACACAGGAAGTCAAATTCAACTTCTACATTCTCTTTTATAAGTTAAGTACTTCCCTGAGAGATGAATCCAGTTACATGAAAATGTAGCACCACTAACAGAAGTTGATTAGGGGAATTTTTGATACTTTTATTAAGTGTTCTTAGTAATATCTGACTTTAACTGTACCTCTCTCGATTTTTTTTTCCACGTTTCACTATAGTACTTCAGTTATTCAAATCTGCAGGTTTCTTTTTTGTTTTGTTTTTAATCTACATATTGCACCCCTTCTCCTTTATCAAATTCCCTTGCAATCTTTAAGGCAGTGTTGCTGAGGGAAACCGATTGCATATTACAGATAATAGTAACAATTACTCCTCTAGGTGGTGCCACGAGCCCGTTTTCCATGGCTTCGGAGCCCAGCTCTTCGGGAAGAATGAGCAGGACACTGCTGGCACCCACCGCACTACCTGTATGGGAAGCGTAATGTCTCTGCTGTCTGCAGCAGCCATACTGTTGTTTCTTCTCTGCTACAGACCAAGCCATGGCGTATTTACCTTCCCTGTCCCATGATACTTCAGTTTTTGGCACTGGGGTCCACATCATTGTGACTGTATCTGGTTTGAGGTATCCAGGAAGAAGTTTGCCATTGATGTTTTTAAATTGTCCAACTTGGTAACTGTACAACAAGGCATTTCCAAATTTCAGAAGATCACCCACTGAGGACAAAAAGCCACCACCAGCCCACTTGTAAGAGTTGTCCACATATGGTGCGTTTGCCAGCCGTCCCTTTTTGTTGTAAACGTAATACCTAGAATTCAAGAAAATTTAACTCATCATTCTCAACTATTATGCAAAACTATCTTAAAATGCCTTACTCCTGTTCTCAAGAAACTTTAGAATTATCTTTTTAAAATATAAACAGCAAATATATATATTTTTTCAGAAAAACAAATTATAAAGAAATTCAAGTGAGAAAAATAAGTGAGACCTTTTAGGTCAGAAACTTCATTTCAATAAAACACTGATCTGTCTTCTTACTTATAGGATATACTAAGGGTCAAGGCAATACAGAAGACATGGAAGGACTCTGTAGATCAGCCAGCACAGGACCTTTCTTAAATCTGTGTAGTACCTTTAAAGAGTTTCAAGAGAAAGGAATCCAAGTACTGCCCTTGTGGTTATCAGGGAGATTCTCCACATGGTCAGAAAAGCCTTTCAAAATTTTCAAGCACAGATTCTTAGCAGATGGCATTAAAACTATCCCTAAGAAATCAGGGACTGCTTTCTGTATACATACGGATTTTAAGTACACACTTATATGTAAATATGATTGGATTCAGTATGTCTATTACCATTTTCATTAAGAGTTTTTTAGAAGCCAAACTGTGGTTTTATGAGACTTTTTCTACAAGTGTATATGATGCACTTGGAATTCTCCTATTGTGTCAAAATTTAAGAACTGAGTCAACAAACAAAGAAGTCAAAGGCAGCTGAGCAAAATAAGATTGGAGAGAACAAAAGAGTACAAGCACAATCCTTATTAAATTCAAATAGTTATCTAGTTACATAAATTCTTTTTAAAAATTCTTAAAAAGGTATGAAATAGTGAAATAAGTTTTGTGTTAAGCATGATTTTAATCCTGGTTAAAATTGATACTATAATTTCATTATTTTAATCAAACTTTGGAAGTCAATATGTAAACTGAGGTAACTACACATTGTATGATGGCCACCCAGTTACCCCTTCGTTTTGCTCTGTCCACAATTATTGACTTATTTGCAACCAAGCTAAATGAAACTTGAAAATTATCCCTTACCACCTCTTTCTCTAAACATATATGTATCTGTATATGTATCTAAATATATATTCCCTTATAACACTTATTTTCTATTCTGTAATTTCACATGCTAATTACAGCATCAATACCACAATGCTGATATAAAATTCAAGTGTGAAATAATAACATGAATAATCTGAACCACTTCATCTAAACACCTATCAAAAACTAACAAACGAACAAACTTAGTAGCTCAAAAGATAGAAAAAACAATTAGTGTGGAAAAGGTAGAGTAAAAATTCATTCTTGTTTACCTTGCTCTGTTGTATATCATTGCCTCATTGTCATCCTGCACAGTTGACAGCATATCCAGGTCCCGAAACAATTTTAGCATATAATCTGTAAATTTTTGCCCAGAAACTCTTTCCACAACAGCACTTAAGAGCGTAAAGCCAAACGTTGAATACAAGAACTGACTACCTTAAGGGAATGTAAAAAAGGGAGGAAAAATAACAAAAAAAGTTAGCTGCATGATGCTTAAATGAAAATCTTGAGGGATAAATTTCAGTAATCCCATAGTTTTAGTCTTATTTCCTATGTACAGCAATGAACAATCAGTTCAACATAGGAAATAAGACTAAAACTATGTACAGCAATGAACAATCAGTTCAAGTAATTACATATGTCTACATATTACAATTTGGGAAAATTAGCATTCAAGATACTGTTCCCTATGAATTACGGTACTGAGGTGACAGGGATGCTCACTGAGTGCACAAAGTTATGACAACAGCACTGAAGTACTTTCAAGAATTAACATTTACAGACAGGTTTCATGCTGAGACACAAGAAAAACACTTTAATATCCTTTCTTCAGGATTTATCATACTAGTTCTAACAAGGATATCTGGATTTAGAGCAGATAAAGTGAACCATGAAATCATTTCCTAAGAGAAGCTGGACCACTGTGATTTGTTTATGTATCTATACCTTAGTGGTAGGGGGGTAGTTTTGGTTCAAGTTCTTCTAAGCTCCTCAGTCACTGTTATGTTCATGTTTTAGCCTTTTTAGTTCTAGAACATCTTTTAACATCACATGAACAGTAACCCTAATAGAATTTTAGATGATGCTTTGTGTTTTTAACCTCCTTGCTTCTTGTGTTGACACTTTTTATGAAATACCAGTTTACCAAGCAGAAGTTTTCATTGAACAACCTACAGTCAAAGACAGATCCCTTACTTGAAACAGTTCAGTTAACTTAGAACTCTCCAAGGTGGAAAAATGGTTGACTGCTTCCTCTTCATATCCATTTCCCCTTACACGTTCATTACTTGCGGTTGTTTATTGGCAGTGAGCATCGTTTGCCTCCTAACCCAACTCATTTAGAATTTATATCTGAAACTCTTCAAATCACTGGAATTAAATAATTTCAGCATCCTCAAGGTTTGGTATACTGGTATTTCATTAACCAACTGTCCCTCCTCCACAATGTGAAGATTAAAAACAATTAAATGAAGCCTAATTGTTGTAGCTGAAGCAGCAAGGAAACCGAACAAATGGTTACAAACAGTAGTAGTGTAACAGATAATGGAGATCTCTCTGTACAAGGAACATACTCTACTGTACAAGTATTTTAAAGCTTAAAATATCCTTACTGCATTGCTTTGTCTTGATGAAGTTCTAATGATTATTTTGGTCATTAAAAGTTAAATCAAATGTAAGATAATTACAGGACAGTTCCTATAGAACAGCCTGAACACATCTCTCCTTTGAGCTTTTAATGGAACATGGGAAAAATAAACAAAAGCCTGCTTTACTGGGCTAAACTAACTTAAATAGAAAGAAATAATTCTTAAATCGAAAGAAATAGAAATTCACCTGGTTTAAAAAATAAGGGGTCATTTTTAAATATCTTCAGTGATTCAATCACACTTTCAAATTTTTCCTTCAAATAATATTCTTCTTGTTCAAATTCCTTTTCTCTCCTGCCAGGTTTTGAATTTCGGCTTTTTACCTCATCTTCATGTTCTTTCTTAGCTTTAACAGAATCAGTCTTTTCAAGGCTTTTAGCTTCTTTTTCTTTTAGCTCCTTCTCCTGGTTAGATTTTGCTAGTTTAAATGCTCTGTTTGCCTTTTCCTTCTCTTCCTTTACTTTCGTAATATCTTTTTCATAGTGACGAATGCCACTCAAGTGTGAAACTAACAGTCTTGTAGTAATAACAACCTAGGCAGAAAGGACAACAGCAAAAGATAAGTCCTTGGAACTAAAGACATGAAGCATACTGAATCAACCAAAAGAACACAACCAAAAGATACAGAACCTTTTACATGCTATATATTAAAATGGTTTGAAATTTATACACATACATATTTAACTGTATATACATACTTAACATAAAACTGAAGATCTGAAATTCCTATGTTGCTTTTTCAAGCAGTGAGCGTAAGCACAAGTCTAAGCGACCTCTGGTGTTTTCCATTAATAGATCCAGGTACAAACACACATAGCTGGACAATGGCAGGATTCAAATCAAGTGTTAAAACCCAAACAAGTGTTAGTAATAAACTACCACATACCTTTTCACCCTCATAGGTTTTTTCTGGAAATTCAGGGACATATTTCTGCACTGGAGCATCCAAATCCAGTTTTCCCTCTTCCCACAATTTAGCAACAGCCAGCATGGTAAGACACTTGCTAATACTGGCAATTCGCATGATTGTCTCTGGTTTACACACCACACGATTCTCTACGTCAGCATAACCCAAACCTGCAAGCAAAACGAATACATTACATGAAATGAAAACTCCATATGAAAACACAGGATAAAGGTAGTTAAAAATATTTCAAATTCTGTAACTTCACTTTAATGAAATATGTTGCTATGTACTACTATTATCTTCCATAAAAACAACCCACATACTTATCAAAGTGTTTCTGAAAGTATGAATTCTGTAATTTCACTTTAATGAAATATGTTGCATATCTTCCATAAAAATAACCCATATACTTATCAAAGTGTTTCTGAAAGTATACAGTGTTTGTTTAAAATAAACATCAAATGCCTACATAATATTAAAAGATATGAACAGCATTGACAGACTGTATTTAAAAAATAACACAAATAACCAGAAGAATTAACTTGTAATTATTAGAAGGATAACAGTGGTTAAAGTGGTACAGTGGTACAGGTCCTCTGTACCTTTCCTGTAAGAATCTACATCTCAGCCCACAAATGGGAGGTGGATTCTTTCTTTATGAAAGTTATGGAATCTCCTGAGAGAGAACATTTCTTTGTTTCTCACATGTAGTTCTACCAGACTACAGCACAGCTGCATGCCTCAAGTAGAAGTATACACAAAGACTGATCTAATTAATGGAAGAATGTTCTTACATTAATGTACTTAAACATAATGGTTGAGATATACTAGCAGGCTCAGGAAGTTACTAAGTTTTCACTTGCTGAAGGTAAGTGAACCAGAGATGGTATCACCATAATTCCCTGGGCACCTGTTTTTGGCAACAGTCCTGAGTCCAAGTGGATGAAATTCTATTTTGATCAGTAGGGCCATCACATAGCTTTCTGTTGATCCACTAACAAAACAAAATTCGCTAAGTATTTTGTACAATGATTTTTCAAACAGGAAGCATTTGGAAAATAAGTGGTATAAAGAACAATGGTCAATCACAATGGCTTAGACTTGGGCCAGGAAAAAACTCTTTGAAGAATTTCCCGCATATGAATTGGTAAAAAAATTCCTCTAAGATTTCTTCAAAAATATTGATGAAAAATCCTTACCAAACTAAAATAGCTAGTCAGAAATATTTCAGCTAAAAATCACATATATCTTAATTCAACTGCCACACCGAGCACGGTTTCACTTATTATGGCAGAAGACACATGCCATTAAGGTCAGCCCCACACCCTGTCCTAACGAGTATGTACAAAATACTCAGCTATAAGACACATCAATGTGAATAAAATTAATAAAGAATACAGTACAGTTTAATAACAGGCATGTTGGACTAATCAATGAACAGAAGAACTTTTGGAGCCTTATACTGATGAGTCTCGGTTCTAAGAAACCTCTCTAATAGTTCCTTTACCTCATTTGAAGAGACTAGGCAGTTATGAACCCTTAATCCATACAATGTAGGCAGAAGTTGAAGTCAGCTTAAAAATTTAACAAAACTTGTTACTGAAGTAAATAGTTAACTTTTAAGGAGCGCTCATTATTTTCCAACTACAGAGCTAATGTTCCTTTATACACACCTTCTGACCAGATTTCCTTTCCATCTACAGAAACTCCAACCACTATACCTGGGATTCCTGCTTCATCCTATCAAAGGAGAGAGAGGAGGCATTTTAGCGAGTTAAACAAAACAAAAACTCAAAACCTTAAAGAAGCTAAACCAACCCTCCATTTAAAAAATTCTTGCAAACTGTTGCCAAATTATAACTGAAATTATTTTGTATTAGTTGGAATGAACTGATACAAACTGCTCTGAAAAACACAGGCAAATTCAATACAAGTATCAAAACTACAAATCCAGCAATGTAAAAACAATATAGTCAAAGTGTTTTTGAGAGTCAAGGTGTAGTACGTGCAGAGCACCGCACGGTAGCTAAGAGAATCTGAAGCACTTCAGCATTCCCAAGCCACCACCACTCCGGCTTCGCCCACCGCCTCTTCCCTCCCCCTCCACATCTTCCAGCACCCCCTGC